AACTTCCCAAACATTTTGCACTAATAGTCTGATCCTACTCAGAACCCAAGACAATTAGTAATTAAAAGACAACAATCCTAACAAATATTCACTTGAATAGCACAAGTCCTTATCCTATACACTTGAGAAGATTAAGGAACTGATGGAACAGACATCCTTCTGTCAAGAGACTCACTGAGTAAGGTGGAGATGTTGAGCTCTAACAAAATCTTGTTTCAAGGGGTTAAAGTTGCAGAAACTGTAAAGATTCACTTGTACACTTCCTGATAAAGATCCAACCGAAGGAGTGCCACCTAGTGGACAAAAGAGGATCAAAGGGAAAAGAAAAAAAACCCTTCAATCTAGGGGGAAAGAAGGGATTGCTTCCCCACCACAGGCTCCTCTTGAAGCCTGAACCAACAAAGCTCTGGGAGAGCAACAGATGAGTGTTGCCAACAGTTCTGACGTATGGGACAAGAGCACAAACCTTGGGATCTTGACGCACAGTCAAATCCTAACTAGAATATGGTTATCATTTATGAAATTCTTAGCTCCTGGTCAAGATCTTACTTTTTAGCCAGAGTTCTTTCTAAGTTACTGCTGAAAATCACTTGGAGAACTGTTCTGATACTCACAGTTCCCACAATGCACCTCATACTTAAACAGGGAGAAGGTCTAACACTAACATATTGACCAATGCACACCTACTGAGGGTAACTTGTGGATCTTATGAGTGCAAAAGGTTTTTGGAACGAATAAACCTAAAAAGGAAAATGCCACTGTACTTAGTACAACAGTTATCATTTCCCACACAGTTTTAAGAGATACTATTTTCATGAGATCATGTCATCAACAAAAGAGTCAGAGTTAGAAGAAAAGCTGAATGAAAAACTAGTTATTTTATTCATACAAATAATGACCTCAATCACCAGTGATGAAAATGCTCCCCAGAAAAGGATGAAAAAAAAATTAGTTTAACTACTAAGCATGTTCCCAAGGAATTCAAGAGAGAGAGTCAACAAAGAGACTATGATAAGAGACTCCTTGCTGATCACCATAAGGATGGTGAGAAAGTGAAAAGGACCCCCAAGTTTTATAGTACTGCCTATCAGGTCTGAATTCATAATATTCCCTGACAAGGAATAAATTGATGGAATAAATCTGTGATTTATAGGAAGTCAAGAGTTCAAAAACAAAAGACTAATCCTTAAGAGAGAAAAATGTGTAAGAGAACCTGTAGTATACATAGGTAGACTGGTTCCTCTCTCTGGGCCCTTCTCTTATTAAAAAGGCTCACACCTTCCTGAACCATAATGACGCAGTGGCTGGAGAACTGTTACTAGAGGAGGCAGATGTAAAGAGTAAGGTGGGTGTTCCCTCTAATGTCCATTCCTGGAGTAGATATACAGGAAGTTTTGGCTATCAGTAAAATATAAGGGGGATCTATCATGTCTAACAAATAACAGAAACTTGTGTTTAGCAAGTGAGAGAGGAAATAATGCAGCATTATGAAAACCTCCTGTCCAAATAACTTCCTCATCAAGTCTGGCAACCATTGCCCTGAAATCATCTAAGTAGAACTTCCACTATACTAGATAAGCAGGCCTTTTTTCTCCAACTGGGTTCGTTTTTCTACAGTTGAATGTACTACAATCAAAACATATTTCCTCTTCCTCAACCCTAAATAACCAGCATTTCACCTACTTTCCCTAATCTATTCCTTTTTTGTACTAAGAGTCACTGCCAGTTCAAGGACTGAAAGAGAAGTGCCTGAGTGAATGAAGTGGTTGCAAAAGCCAGCATATCCCCTTCTTTCATCTTTTGTCTGGATCTAAGTCCCCAGAAGTTCTTAGGACAGACACATATGCTTCTGGGAAGCAGAGAGCTAGAGCAAGGACTTTGGAGTCACACACTCCAGAGTCTGAATCCTGGCTCTGGCACTTACTATGTAGCCTAGGAAAAGTTATTCAAGCTGTGTCTCTAATTCTTTATCTGAAGGACAGAATATTTATGGAGTGGTAATGAGTATTCATCTATATCATCAATATTAAGACTATGAATAAGAGACTTGGAAACTGAAACTGGTTACCTACTTGAAAAACAGGATTAAGGATAAAGATCTTCTGAAATTTTATACTGGACATGTTTAAAGTACCAGAAGCAAAAGCAACCTTGCTTTCATACTGAGGAGATGTGGGTCCTCTGAGCGCTCACCTCTGAAGTTGGTAGAGCTTGAATTTCCTTACCTGATAAAAACTTTAAGAACCCCAAAGCCTTTTTTACTGAAGTGTTTCTGGCTTGTTGTGAGCAAGGGGGCTATTGGGAAGTCTGCACTAAGTTTGCCAGCCTGAGCACCAAGAGAAGAAGTTCAAAACCACATCAGGAAAGACAAAGGCAAATTAGTATGATCACAGTGGGAGTTACACATGGCATGGGGTCCCTACAGAGCACTTCTGGCTGCCACCTGAGGCCCCTGCAAATGGTATTAAAGCAAGTATTTTGTTCCCAAGAGACACATTCAACAAACCCCAACATTCTAATACCTCTTGCATCACCACAGATTTACAGACTAAAACAAAGGAAAAGAAAGCAGGTAAAGAGCAGCGCGTGGGTGGCTCAGTCATTAGGCGTCTGCCTTTGGCTCAGGTCATGATCCCAGGGTCCTGGGATTGAGCCCCACATCAGGCTCCCTGCATGGCGGGAAGCCTGCTTCTCCCTCTCCCACTCCCCCTGCTTGTGTTCCCTCTCTCTGTCCAATACATAAATAAGTCTTTAAAAAAAAGGGGGGGGGGGTGCCTGGGTGGCTCAAGATGGAAAAACACCATCCTTCAACTCAGGTCATGATCCCCGGGTCCTGGGATTGAGTCCCGCATCGGGCTCCCCGCTCAGCAGGGAGCCTGCTTCTCCCTCTGTCTCTCTCTCTCTCTCTGATGAATAAATAAATAAAATCTTAAAAAAGAAAGAAAGCCGGTAAAGAGAGAAGGAAAAAATAAATCAGACAACATTAAAGTCAGGAAAACATTAAAAATCCAAAGAGGAAAGAATTTTTAAAAGGGGGAGGGAGTTCTTATTTGGGGGGGAAATGAATAACAGACACAGCAAGGGCTACAAGCAGCAGGGAAGTTCTGTTGCATCTGAGTGCTGTGGGTCACTCAGAGTTGGGTAAACAGTAAATATTCAGGATTATACTTGACAGGAAAATTAAATCACTGAGATTTAGAATGTCTGGAAAATTGCTCATGATTTCGTAATTTTTGACACATCCCCTAGTGTTTCCTAATGGAAAAACGAGGAAATTAAGACAGAGTGCCAAGTTAACACCTGGAAGTGCTAACTGAAGCTAAAGATTTTAAAGCATAGCTAGGAATTTCCTTCATCACAAGAGCAGCAATCTAGTAGTGCGGATTATTACTACCTGAAAATCAATACTCCACTAAACTAAACTAAGTCATACTCATTTTTTTTCCAGATTAAGATATAGAGTTTTCTAAGAATAATTTGGGGGAGTGGGGGAAAGCCAAGGCTTGTAGGAAGTTAAAACCCTCAAATGAAAAGAAAGTAGTTTCCAGGGCAGAATCTGAGAGCTAAAGGAGCATTAAAAAGTGTGGTTACGCTGCTGAAAATGACAAAAAATGACACATGGTCTTCCTTGGCTATTTTTAAAACACTATCAATTCATAGTGGGAATAAAATGCCAAGGAAAACCACGAAAGTGCAGAAAACCTCACTATGATCACTAGTAATACAAATGTACAGAGGAAGGGGGTGGCCAAGGTGGGAGGAAAGCTGCCTGGCCGGTATGCAGGTGCAGTGGTGCTCAGGGCACAGCTGAGAGAACGGGACTTACGCCACAGGCCAACACAGGGGTAGATTCTGTGAACCTACAAATTAGGAAATCATTTGATTTTGAGTTTCTCTGTCAACTAATCGTCGCTGATATACCAGAATAGCCTAAGTGGTCATTATCACAGGATTTTTCACTGAGCAGGTGGAAGTCAACCCCTTAGCTGCACTTTAGTTCAGCAGATGACAGTTCTTCTAGAGTACAAGGCCACTCCGCCCTGAGTGAAAGGCAAGAGGTCACGCTGGAGCCCAGCGATCTTATGCTGTCAGATAGACACACCTAACTAGGGGCCACCAAGGGCTCCTAGCAGTGTTAGGCTCCTTAACAGAACAAAGTGCAGCCTGCTTCCATCAGTTCACTTAAGGAAAAAAATAATAAGTGCTTATTTACTGGGGATAGGGGAAGGGCAGACAGAAGAGGGGGAAATGCTCAAAAGTTGCACTTAATTTTCATCACTAGGGTCAAAATACACCTCTAAGGAAACAAAAAAAAGCTCTGAAATGGAAATACAAAATTATTAGGCTATAATTGTCATTAAATTCAAATACTGTATCCCTCGGGGGAAAAAACTACAAGTGCCCCGTCCCAAGGCAGCACAAAACCACAAGAATTAGGAAGTGAAGAAAGATGAGGGTAAAACAGATCAGCTCTTCCAGAACAAAGGGGAAGATATGAAGGTGAAGAAGAAAAGCAAGAATTTATTAAAAAAAAAAAAAAAAAGACAAGGACCGGAAGACAAGATCCCTGGATCTGGTCATTTAACCTTGGGCAAGTTACCTATATTCAGTTCAAGCATGCTACAGAATGGAGATAATACACAACCTGCTTATCTCTTAAGGCTTCTTGGCAGGTCCAAGAAATAATATGTGTTAAAGCACTTGGAAGACTATAATACACAACAGTAATGTAAGGTCATGGTATTAAAATACTTAAGGTGTCCCCTGCCTTCCAAAGAAAGAACAACTAAGCTTCGACTTAAACTTAAAACAACTGTCTATGCTGTCAGTTAAACATCACAGCTACTGGTCCTTCTAGACTCTTAAAAAAAAAAGAGAGAGGGAAGATAAATCAATCCGGGATCTCATCTCAGTTTTCTAAAGAGAAATTCCTTTACATCTGTTACATCTTTTCTCTAATGTTCAAGATACCCAATTAAAAGGCTCTTCTGTATTCTTACCTTTTGAAGCTGGAGGAGCAAAGGGCCAGGAAGAGGAAAGCATCAGATGTTGAAAAGAAATGGAAGAAAAGAAAAACAATCACACATGGTTGTTATTGTAGACAGTCACTCAACCACCTAACCTGTTAAAGACTGGCCCAACCCTTGTTAAGTTTGTAGGTCTGGAATGGCACCTTAAAGACAGTGCCAGAATCTGTTCAAGAGTATTATCAAAATGGGCCCATAATGAGCTTCATGTCACCTTAATCTCATATCCCCAACATGTTATACTGATAAAAAATACCTACATGCCAAAAAATTGGGGAAGAAAAATACCAAAATGCAACAGTTTTCTTTTCCAACCCCAGCATCCCCAGAATACAAAAATATCTTAATTTCTTCCGAATGGGAAAAACCACCTCTCTTCAACCCTCACTCAGGGAAGGGAAAGGAATTGGAGACTCACTTAAAGGATACTCTAAGTCCTATACTGGACCTGTGCATGAAAGAGGAAGGTACTCACTCTTGGTCTGGGCAGAAAAGGTCAGAGTAAGTTTGGCGAAAAGTTCGTTGTTCTCAAAGCGGTCCTCCTTCACCTTTGTCCAGAAGCAGTCCTGGGACAGGTCCTCAGCAACAAACTGTGGATATGGGCAGGGTGTTAAGAGTTACTAACCGGAGCCCTGTACTTTCCATCCTAGAAAACTGACTAAGATGCAGAAGAGGTGGGTGGTGGTTCTGAGCAATGACTTACTAGAGTAAGACTAACAGGAGACACACAAGAGCTGCGCTCTGCATGGAAGGATCCGGACATAGTGCTCCCAGTTCATTCAAGAGCTAGGTTCACTTATGCTACTTATCCTCCTTCTAACCTCACATCCTCTAATTTTAGAAGTATTGAGGTTGTATTTCACATCTTCCCTTGTTCTACATTATATTCTCCCCATCAATTTGCCTAACTGACATAGTTGCTTATTTTATAAGTAAATCCTTAAGCTCCTTTAACTTGGTTTCTGGAAGCAGAAGGCCAAAGCAGAATCATAGGGGCCTTGAACAGAGTGGAAACAATACTGTGCTATGCACACATGTCCTCTGTAGCTCATTTATGGGGAAGAGGTAGGAGGGTATATCCATAAATCCACAACTTTCAGATCAGCACTATTATCAACAGCTTGCAGACTGGTGAAATGACTATTATCAAACTGTGGGTTACCATGGCACTCATACCCTCAGAGAAAAGGCCAAAAACATTAACTTAAGGATATGTTTAGGTTTTGTAGCAGAGTAGAGGGCTCAAAGAATTCTCCAAAGTGATGTCTGGCACACAGAAGATGCCTAATTTGCGCTGAGTAAACGTAAGCATGAGTGCAACCTGAAGACAGACAAGATGCTAACTATAAGAAACAGAAGCCCACCAGGGCATAAAATACAAAGTAGGAAACTAAATTGGCTTCTTAAGATATCTATTGAGGAAAAAACGGACAGAAATTCTCACCTTGGACCAGTTTGGCCTTCGGAGTTGCACCTCTGGCTTATAAAGCTTCTTTGGGGTTAATCCAAATGGCAGAACTGGGGCTGCAGGAACTCCAAATCCAAAAGGGGGAGGTGGAGGCACACCCATTCCGGGTGGAGGTGGAGGAATTCCAGGACCGCCAGGAAATGGAGGGGGTGGAGGGATTCCAGGACCACCAGGAAGAGGAGGAGGAGGAGGTGGCATTCCTGCTCCTCCAGGCAAGGGAGGAGGGGGTGGGGGCATGCCAGTACCCCCAGGCAAAGGAGGGGGTGGAGGGATACCAGTACCCCCAGGCAGAGGAGGAGGTGAGGGGATGCCAGCACCCCCAGGCAAAGGGGGTGGTAAGGAGATGCTAGCACTCCCAGGCAGAGGAGGAGGTGGGGGGATGCCAGCACCCCCAGGCAAAGGGGGTGGTACAGGGATGCCAACACTCCCAGGCAAAGGAGGGGGTGGGGGGATGCCAGCACCCTCAGGCAAAAGAGGGGGCGGTGGGATATAAGCATTCCCAGGCAAAGGAGGGGGCGGTGGGGGAGGAGGAATGGTAGCACCTCCAGGAGGAGGTGGTAGGGTGGGTGTGCTAAGCTCTCCTGGTAAAGGAGGGGCTGGGGGGGGAGTAACAGTGCCAGGAGCGGGCGGAACAGTAGCACTGCTAGGAGGGGCGACAGCAGTAACTGCAGCAGAGAGAGAAGTCATTTCTTTCTTGGCGTCTTCCAGTTCCTTGGACAGCTTGGCAACCTAGAGGAACAACATCAATGGAAGTACTCTTCACTCTGCTTCAGGGACCACTGGGGTTGGAAACGACCTAAAAAATTACTTAATCCAGAGTTTTCTTTTTACACATGAAGACCCTGAAAGGAGTCAGACAGATGAAATGATTCACCTAAAGTCACACTGATATTTAGTGGCAGAGCCAAGACTAGAATTCAGGTCTTCATGTTCTTAGTTCAGCATGCTTTGCATTAAAAAGGCAACTTCAACCTTTATGTTAAATTCTCCCTTTAACTAAAAAATGCAAAGTTCAAGTAAATCAAATATTCTAGTGAGATAAGCACACAATGATCAAGTTATCAGATATCACAGATCATTTAAATAACTGTAACTGCAAAGAGAGTGTGGGCATTAATCTGTCCAGAAATAGTTAAAGTAAGAGAAAATCAGCAAATATATGAAGACTTTTTTTGGATTTTACTCCTGAATTTATGAGATGACTTAGTTTTATTGCTGGGTATTACTGTGACTCCTTTTACTCTCTATATTGTTCGTATTTTCCAAATTTTCTATCTTGTGTGTTAACTCAAAATGAAACAAAATACAGTAAATGATTTTTAAAATATGCATCATTTAACCAGATCACCTATGGGTAGCTAAACCTTGCGTAGGAGTAAGATGACTGACCCCTGCTGCAAGACACGCCCATCATGAGCTGCCGATGGCTTAGAGATCACTCTGCCTTCCTTGCTCAAACATTACCTCTCCTGTGAGCTGAGACACCTCTGCTTCCAAGTCCTGTTTCTCTGTGGCAATCTGCTGCTTTTCAGAATTCAATGCATCCTTTTCTCCCTGAAGATCCTGGAGCTTCTGCTCAAAGTCGCTCTCCATCTTTTTCATTTCTACCTGTAGCTCATGTCGGGCTGTTAACTCTGAGTCCAACTAAAGGAGAAAGGAATTAGGCTCCTAGTAAGCTCTCCAGGAGGAAGCAGAGTGTTATCCTCCCAAATTCACTGTTCTGTCCCAATCCTTTACAGAGCTCACTTTCCCAGGAAATGCCTGGGAAAAAAAGACCACCATAATTTTGAACTCAAAATCAAAGTTAAAGTAGAGGGAACCAGGGATCTTTTCCAGTCTATCTAATTTGGGGGGTTCTAAAAACAAACAAAACAACCTAAGACAAATACTGTATGATTTCACTTATACGTGGAATTTAAAAAAACAAAACAAATGAACAAACAAAAAAAGCAAATGAACTGATAAATACAGAGAACACAGAGGTGTTTGCCAGAGGGAAAGGGGGTGGGGGATGGGCAAAATGGGTGAGGGGGAGTGGAAGGTACAGGCTTCCAGTTATGGAGTAAGTCACGGGGATGAAAGATACAGCACAGGGAATATAGTGAACGGTACTGTAATAGTGTTGTGTGGTGACAGACGGTAGCTACACTCGTGGAGAGCACAGCATAATGTATAGAGTTGTCGAATCACTATGCTGTGCCCCTAAAACTAATCTAACATTGTATGTCAACCGTATTTGGATCAAAAAACAAATAACAAATAGGGTGCCTGGGTGGCTCAGTCGGTCAAGCATCTGACTCTTGACTGCAGCTCAGGTCATGATCTCAGGATTGTGAGATCGAGCCCTATGTCAGGCTCTGTGCTCAGCACAGAGTATGCTTAAGATTCTCTTCCTCTCCCTCTGCTCTTCCCCTCCACCCCCAACCCCGCACTTGCACTCTCTCTGTTAAAAAAAAAAAAAAAGGCAAAACGACAACAAACCTAAAATTTGTAAAGAAATTTCACATTGTTAAGACATTTACACCAGAGCAGCTATGGTGTACAATCCCAGCAGCCTCTAGGAGCAAAACCCTATCAACCACAATAGAAGTCCTAACAACTGACGAGAAAAAAAGAATTCAGACATATTCCAGTCCCTGTTGTTCTAGGGGTAAGAGCCTGAGATACCAGTCAAACCGCAAGAGCTGTTACTGTTAGACACGAGAGTCCATCTTTCATTCCTGTCCCCACCCAGGGGCTCAAGAACCGTGTACTGCTATCTCCTCAGGATCACATCCGTATTAGTTTCTCCAGTGACAAACCTATACCAAAAGGTTTCCCCTAGGAACTACTACTGGGTGCTGAATGCTTGGAAAATACCACAGGTAATAGTTTCACATGTCAGAAAAAAATCATAATCCTTAAAAAGAAAAAAAGAAAAAAAGAAAGGCCTTCCATTTTTTTAATCTCTTACACACACCTTTTTTTCCAGTTCTGTAGCTTTGGCTTCAGATTTCTCCACCTTTGTTTTATCAATCATTTGATCTGAAAAGAAAGTCAGTAAGTGAAGCTCCCAATTCTCTTGTCTTTCCCACTACCTACACCCTTCAATATAACCAAAGGGCAGTCTTTTGTCCATTTGCTTATTTTTATTATCCTTCTTAATTTTCTGCTCTAGACAAAGAAATGAATCTTTCAATTAAGTTCAACATGCAATTTCTGAGTGCCTGTTATATAGTAAGGCCACCATGCTGGATGGCCTGGAGAGTGCCTACAAGTGGTACTTAAGAATGTCTGAGACCAGCAGGAATCACAGATAATAGGTAAAGTCCCTTCAAACAGTGGGGTGATGTCCGAGTAGGGGTAAATTTTTAGATTTATGTAACAATAAACTAAAGGTCTGTATATCCCTAGCACAGAAGCTAGTTATCACCTAAAGACAAAAATGGAAATACCTGGGGACTAGAAAGATATCTTCTCTGAAAATTTCACTGGAAGAAAGATAAAAAATGAAAGGCAGAGCAATGTTTTAAGGAGCTAGATAGAATATACTTACCAATCAACCCCTCAATATCAATCTGGAGGTGCCGGCACTTGAAGTCAGGATCAGCCCCATTCTTGTGCAAAACTATCTGAGAAATACATTCTTCAATCAACTTATAGTACTGAGGTCTATGGAAGAAAGAGAAGAATGTTATCAGAGGAAAACCAAAATATAATTTTCAGAAGCATTCAGGATCAGGAAAAGTTAACTGTTTTGATAACAGCGACGTGAGATGTGTTCCTAAAAAGACCTTTTCATAAAACTAACAGAAGAACGCTGCCATGCTAGGAAACTCGCTATTCTACGAGAGCTACCCCATCTTCTTCAGATAATCAAAACCTGTTGCCATCTACCTCCTAGTGCCAATCATCTCCCATCTAAAACTCAGGCTTGATCCTTTCTGTGATAGATAGCACTACTGCTGAATCTCTACTTCTAGGCAACCTGGAAGAACCTTAAATAGGTACCTCCCTTTGCTATCATCTTAACCCCACCTCAATTCCCCTCTCCAAAAAAAGGACATTTTACCTTATACACTCTGACCTCCTCCATAAGGATGCCTTTCAGTCAGATTAAAAGGACAACTGACAACTCCTTTAGTATCTGTGACTAAAAATGAACTGTAATCCTTGTCTTTGTCTCTTCTTTTTTCCTTTACAGTCTTTGAATTTAAGGATTTTGCTCTCTCTACTTAGGCTCAAATTCAATACTTTTCACAGGTATATCATCTTACCTGGCCTCATAGTCATTTCGGACCAAGAGTAGGTGCTGCAGGATGGACAGGAAGTGTGGCTCTGCCTTTGAATCCTTCACTGTGTTTAAGAGAATCTGGAAGACATCACTGAAGTCAGTAAAAAAGGGGAAGAGGCTAAGGAAAGCATATATTTAGAAACCATGTTTGACAGGTGGATGGCCCTACTCTTGGCAAAAGTCACAAGATGCCACTTCTATTCTAACAGCTGCCTCTCCTGTAAACATTACCCCAAACTTTAAGCTCCATAAGCTTCCTTAGGCCAAGGGACCAGTGGGTTAGGTGGTATTATACACAGAGATAAAGGATTCTCAGTCCTTGACTTGGAGATGAAGCAGTAGACAGAAGTGAAAAGGTAACTGCACACCAGTCACTTGTGTCAAATAGCAGTATGGAGCCAAACTACTCCGTCAGTCTCAGGGACACAGAGAAGAAAGTAAATTACAAGCCCACCCCTGACTTATGCATACTCTCCAAAGACCAGCTCTACACCTTAGTAAGCTAAGATTTCATGTTCTAGGAGGTCCATACTCATTTTGATAGGAACCCTCAGATCTCTGGTCCATGCTGAGGTAAATAAAGCCCACAGCAATCAAAAGATACCTGCCTCATCTACTAAGAAGACACACAGGCTGATGCCCTGCTCTGAGTCATCACCCCACACCATTCCGTACAGGGATCTACACTGAATGTCTCATGTGTCTTGAACCCAGTTCATAAAAGGATATTCCATCTCCATTCGAATGTCATCCAGCCGTCCCTTTAGGTCATAGGAATCTTCTTCTCCTTGCTCATCAAACACATTTAGTTGCACTCTCATATCCTCATTTTCAATCTCTCGAAGGTCCTGTCAATGACAAAAGTACAAGTCAGGGAACCCAGAAGTGTCCTATGCTGGCTAGAAACCCAAGCCTTTCAACCTGGTTCTTAAACTGAGAGCCAAAGTTATGCCAAAGATGTGCCAAAGATGATGGGGCTGTCAAAGCCCGCAGCACGCAGCATGGCCGTCCTAATGAAGAGCTGCATCTCACCTGCAACACTTGATGTAGCCCCAAGCGCATCAGTTCACTTCGGATGTGCACTCGAAAGTCAAGTTCTTCAGCTGGTGTGATGAGAGCATTGATCAGCTGTAGGCAGCCCACCTAAAGTAAGAAAATTCGGCAGCATGTCATTGTAGACTCCTAGAGATCAAGATTCCATTCTCTTTACATGCATGCTGAGGGCCCCAAATGTAATGTAGAAGATGCAGTACAAAACTACAAGAACAACTTTCTAGTAGAGCAGTAAGACCTGATTTGAGCCCAGGTCTGGAGAGCTCAGAGGTCTAAATGATTCCAAGGATTTGATGGGAGACTTTGTTCTCAGCCTTGGCTTCCCTAGCATATAAATAGATAGCATGCCTTTTCCCCATCTCATAATAAGGAAAGCTGCTCTTTCTCTGCCTTCGAGAGAAGGATAATCATTTTCCCTTCAGAACAAATCCTGAAATATAAAACATATACAGACACAACTCATTTCATTGGACTTCACTTTATCACACTGCTCTATATAGTGTATTCTTTTTTCTTTCTTTTTTTTTTTTTTTTTTACAAATTGAAGGTCTGTGGCAACCCTGTGTCAAGCAAGTTTATCAGTGCTAATTTTCCAATAGCACTTGCTCACTTCTTGTCTCTGTGTCGTATTTTGGTAATCCTCAGAGTATTTCCAACTTTTTCGTTATTGTTTGTTATGGTGATCTGTGATCAGAGATTATGACTTGCTGAAAGCTCATATGATAGCATTCTGAAGCAATAAGTATTTAATTAAGGTAGGTACACTGTTGTTGTAAACATAATGCTATTGCACACTTAACAGACCATGGTATAGAGTAAACATAACTTTTACATGCATGAAGCTAGGAAACCAAAAAATACTGGTTATACTGTAGTGTTCTGGAAGCAAACCTGCAGTATCTCCAAGGTGTGCCTGGAGAACCATTCCATGTGTTCTATTACAAGGTCAAATGAACCTAAGTCCTTCCATCTTGAATTCTATTCTTGGACACAGTTTCGGAGGATACACTTGCCTTGAGTGCAATGGAGGTCCCACTTTTTAATCCATCCAACAATGGCTGGAAGCGTTCCACCTCATCCATCTCAGCTCTTTCTGTCATCGCTGTCAAAACCCTTTCATTCCTACCCAGGAGAAAGGAAAGGGAGAGAAATGTCCAGGTGCCCTGGCAGACAGGCACAATAGGTAGATTATACAGGGGCACAGATCAGTTAGAAAACAGAACATTATCAACTGTCCAAACTTCCAACATTATTCTCCTCATCACCTAGGGCTGGGGTCAGAATCTGGTGAAAGCTAAGGACAATCTCGTCAGAAAAATGTATTCCCTAAAACCCATTCCTAGACTCCTATCTATGGATACCAAATTAGAACACCTGTTCTATGGAGTATAAACTGCTATAACTTTTGGAGGGGTAGATAACAGTATCAGTTTTAAATGCACATAACATTTGGCTTACTTCTAAAAACCTATCCAACATAAATGCATAAATGTGAAAAAATATATGTACAAAAACATTCATTATGGCAACATTTGTAATAGTAAAACTTCTTATCACCTAGAGCAGGGGCCAGAATCTGCTAAGAAAAAAAAAATGTCTACCCAAAAAGTCTAGCAATGGGGAAATTGTCAAATAAGTTATGGGACATAAATACTATGGAATGTTAAATAGCCACTAAAGATAAGGTAGATCTTTGTAAGTACCGACATAGAAAGATGTTCAAGATAACTGTTAAATTAAAAAAAAAAAAAAGGTGAAAAGAAATGCATGGTAATGATTTAGTTTTTATTAAACCAAACTGCTCCACAGCAATAAAAATCTATCCTATGCATGTGATTTGTTTTATGCACATAAGCCATCTTTCCTTAGTTCTAACATTCCACCTTTTGGAGTGACAGAAAGTACCTTAGAATCCAGGAAATACAATTTGTCTCTGCTAGAAAAAAAATCTGTAAGATTGTACCCAAGCCATCAACACTGGTTGCCTTTGCAGAAAAGGATTTACTTAATATACTTAAATTTTACTTTATATATTTCTATATTGTTTGAATTAAAAAAATAAAGTTGTGTTACTTCTGAATTAAAAAAACAAAGTAAAAGCAACCCTTGCCCTAGGCGATACAGACATTAACGGAGCTCTAGGAGACACTCTGCAGATTACTCCTCTGAGAACCGCCAGTACGCTGAGGACAGCGCCCAACACCTCACATTCCTTAAACATTACGATTCAGTGTTCACGCCTTGGTCTTACCTAGTATTTAGGATAAAGTGGACACCCAAGCAACTCAATTTTCCTCTAGACTAGGGAAGGTGGTCAAAAAGAGAATGGAGAAGAGCTATAACCCAGTCACATACATGTCCTCTGGCTGTGGTAAGATACAAAGAGCAGAAAGCAGCTTAGCTGCATCAATCATCATGTTGGGAACAGCCGGATCCATGGCTCTGACCAGCAGCAGGATACCTTCTTCTGTTTCCAGCATGGTCTTGATTCCAAACTGGTAGGGTAAGAACAGAGAAGGGAGGCTTAACGATGACAGCATCTAACCAAGGACAAAGGTAGGGGTGGTTATGGGTTGAATGGTGTCCCCTGCTAAATTCTATGTTCAAGTCCTAAGCCCCGATACCTTGGAATATGACCTTATTTGGAAATAGGGTCATTGGCAGATGTGATTAGTTAAGTTACAACAAGGTCATACTAGAGTAGGGTAGACCCTTAATCCAATATGACTGTTGCCCTATAACAAGGAAACATGTCGACACAGACATGCACAGAAGAACACCACCTTGTGAACATAAAGGCAGACACTGGGGTGAGGCATCAAAAAGCCACAGAATGCCAAAGACAGCAAGCTACCAGAAGCCAGGAGAGAGGCATGGAACATACTCTCCTTCACAGCCCTTGGAAGGCCCCAATACTACCAACACCTTAGTCCTGGATTTAGGGCCTCCAAGAACTGTGAGACAATAAATTTCTGTTGTTTAATACAAAGTTTGTAGTACTTTGTTATAGTAGCAATAACAAACTAATACAGGGGTAGACCTCTTCCCAGCATAGCTAAATGGAGCTGAATATAAATACAACAATTTTATATTAGATACAACACAATTCTAGGTCTTCAAGAATAAAAATCTTTGATTCTTATATTTCTTTTAAATGCCCCTCGCATCCAATGGTGTGAGTAAATTGTAACAATGAGGAAGATAGATCTGCACTCCAGAGCAAACAACTGTAAGACCCCTGAGTTTAAATGGAAGGAAGGAGGGAAGGAGGGAAAGTAGGCAGATTGATTCTACAGTAGGAACATGCAGAAAATAAAATAAATCTTCCCCAAACAATAAATACAGATCAGGAAATACAAAAATTAGCAAAACAAAGTATAAAAAGAGGAAGGGAAGTGAGCCTACCTTCTGAAACAGACATCAGAACTGGGAAAAAAAGGTCCATAGAAACATACATATGTGGCAATCAAAAAGTTGTAATATTAAAAGGGAAAGCTACAAGTCCTGAACTTCATATCCCTAGGTCCTTTTTGGAGTTTGCCAATAGAAAAGAAAGAACAGGGGTCATGATGAGGGTTGGAATGAGAATGGGAAAAATCTCACCTTGTTGTTCATAAATGCTTTCAAGCAACGGATGATCTCATGCTTGTTACGGCTATCATAGCTCCTGTGTGAAGACATACTCCGTGAATTCCCTTCATTGTATACCCCTCTCCCATTTGACTTTTCAATCTCGTAAACACAGGTCTTCGGAACACCCCCAACTAGTAGCTGAGTGAATTCTAGCACACAGCAATTTGCCCTGAAACACTGGCAAAAATAGATAGTTGAGAGGGATCACCACCATCAGACCTTTGGTTAATCTTGCAATCCAAGAATTTAGTACTACATTAAAATCTTCTGTTTAACTCCCTCTAGGTTTCTTTTTTTTTTAAAGATTTACTTATTTATTTGACAAAGAGAGACACAGCGAGAGAGGAAACACAAGTAGGGGGAGTGGGAGAGGGAGAAGCAGACTCCCCGCGGAGCAAGGACCCGATGCGGGGCTCGATCCCAGGACCCTGGGATCATGACCTGAGCTGAAGGCAGCCGCTTAATGACTGAGCCACCCAGGCGCCCCTCTCTAGGTTTCTAAGTGCTAAATTTGATCAGGATAATATCCCATCTATTACTGCTTGCCTCACTACATCAAAGGTTTCAAGCCTGTCCATTCAGGAGGTATAGGCCCTATGTTTTGTTTTGGAAAGATTCCCAATAAGTAGAGAAGTCACTATGGGTCAGGTTGACTTCAAGGTAGCCTAAGAGTCCAAGATATCCCGAGAACTATTCCAACCCTGAAGATTGTCAGAAAGTTAGTCCCAAATTCATCAAGTGTATTATGAGACTTCTGAATGGTATATAACCCAGAACAGGTCCTAGGGGAGCTGTGGATGAACGCTGACCCCACTTCCAGATTGGGTAAGAACCTATGCTGGGAGACCCACAATCTTATGTGGTCCACAGCCTGTGTTATCCACTGTGTTCCTCTTCCCTTTGCTGTCATCACTCATCCTCTAGTCTGTCCAAAGACAAACCCTGTTCTCAACTAACAGCATATTCTCCTGGTCCACAATTTCTCATTTTAGTGCCATTTTCTCCTATAGAGCAAACAGCCAAGTCACCGGGAAGATGTCAAATTGGAAGTCCTCACCCAGGAGTCTCCTCTTTCTCATCATGGAGTCGTTTAAGGATGTCCAATAAAGAGGCCAGGCCCTCAGCACCAAATGTTTGCACCCAGCTGTAAGGAATCAACAGAGACAATGCAATATCAAATCAAATCAAATCAGTATTTATTCACCCAAACAAATCCTACCCTGGCAACTCTTTACTCCCAATCCAGAACTCTCATACATCCTGGCTCCTCTGATCTTCAAATCCTTCAAATCAGCAAATCCTAACCTTGGGCTCTCACTGTTGTTACCACCTCAGAATCCTCACCTGACAGGGTTGTTGTTGAGGGAGACACGAAGGGACTCTAAGCAGGTAAGCAGAGGCATATCCCGCAGGCCTGACCTCAGCTCTTGAATGTACATCATGGCAGACCTAGAGCTCTCCTTCTGGCTCATGCCCTAGAAGGGAGCATATGGAAAGATTAGCCAACATTGGACCCAGATATAAATTGGACTAGCATTAGTCATTACCTTTTGAATATCAAGGCAGACACATAATATACATAGCACCCAACTCTGTGGGACTCAGAATTTCCCATCCCACTCTCCACACACACCTCATGAAGACTGAATCAGGCAAAAAGTATGTTAATAACAGCAATTTGAATGAGAGTAAAACGGGAGAAGGCTTATATGACAAAATAAAATAAGACTGATATAGACATAAAATGTTCTATAAAACTGGTAAAACAAACAGGTCCAAGATAAGGGCAGAGTCTCCCATGCATGGGTACCTGCCCCAGGACTCACAGCCTTAGAGGTGTGCAAGTATTGGGACACCATCTCCCTCTTGATGATAATGTCCTTCTCCCTCAAAGGTTGCTGTTTCTCTTCATTCAGGTTCATATCCAGCTAGTAGGGGGAGGAAAAAAAAAAGGATAAAAACAAAACTGCATCAAGTTTCTTACAAGTTTTCAGTGTGTAATATTTAGTATAGTCAAGAGTTAAACACATTAATTAAATGCTTACTGAATCAGTAAGTTTTCCTGATCCCTTGAGATTTAAGCTATTACAGATTATGAAAATTCCTCAGGGATGTTAATGGTTAACATTTTAGCATAAACTCCTACAGACACTTTTTTTTTTAAAGATTTTATTTATTTATTTGACTGAGAGAGAGACAGCGAGAGAGGGAACACAAGCAGGGGGAGTGGGAGAGGGAGAAGCAGGCTTCCCAAGGAGCAGGGAGCCCGATGCAGGGCTCGATTCCAGGACCCTGGGACCACGACCTGAGCGGAAGGCAGACGCTTAACGACTGAGCCACCCAGGCACCCCCTACAGACACTTTTATACACAATGTTTTCCCTAACAAAAATGGACTCAAGCTAGATGAAAAATTTTTTATTATTGAAACAAAAGCACACATAATGTTTTTTGTACTTGGGATGATCTTAAAAATCTCTTCTTGATGACTGGCATCATCCAAACCCACAAGATCTGCACCACTCTAGGGTGTAAACACCCATTATCACTGGTTAACTTAGTCCTTGTACAAACTCCTTTCCCATGAAGATAGAACTAGAAACCCTGTGATAAAGCCCCTCCACAGATGTAACTTGGGTGTGGTATTGAGGAAAAGGCTCCACTTGAGCCTATTACATGTATAGCCATGTGTCTGAGCCCACTGCCTCGGTGAGCACAAGTTTAACCCAGCAAGTCCGAAATATCTGAAATGGGGAAAGGGAAGAGGGAAAATGGATACATTCCATTTCTTCTCTGTGTGTGTCTGTGAGAGAGAGAGAGAGAGAGAAGGCAGCACTGCTCCCAAAGTAAAACTACTGTGATGTTCTTCTGACTCAATTCCTGGTGCTTTTTTTCTCCCTTTACAGATTAACTGAACACAGAAGTTGCAAAGTGGGGGCCTTCAGGTTGAATCAGACCCAAAGACACAGTACGTTTTGCTTGGCTAGCTCAATATTTTAAATCTGGAAGACTTTATATAAAAATACAGATTTTTAGGATCAGGTGACACAATCATCAAATTTCAGATTGTGGGTAACTCTATAGGTCAAACAGTTTCCTCCATAAGTTTTTTATAGTGATAGCAAGGATAAAAGAGAGGGACAAAAACCTGTGATGAAATAAAACTTGAAAGAACAGTAGTATAAGGGATCTTATCTGGAATTGTGATTTGAATGAAGAGGTTTTTTTTTTTAAAGATTTTATTTATTTATTTGAGAGAGAGAATGAGAGAGAGAGAGAGAGAGCGCGCGCATGAGGTGGGGAGGGCCAGAGGGAGAAGCAGACTCCCTGCCGAGCAGGAAGCCCGATGCGGGACTCAATCCCGGGACTCCAGGATCATGACCTGAGCCGAAGGCAGTCGCTTAACCAACTGAGCCACCCAGGCGCCCTGATTGAAGAGTTTTTTAAAAAATGACCCAACTGGTGAAATCTGAATGCTGTCTGTAATAGTTGATACTATTAAACAATTACTGTTTTTCAAGAATTGAAGATTTCTGGCTTCTTTAGAAAAACAGAAATATCTGGCACTGCTGGGCATTTCCAACTGGAGTGCTACAAAAGCTACTGGCACTGAATTGTGGCTGGACTTCCTAACAGAAAAGCCCAAAGGCCTTCTGCATTTGACCACAGTCCCTTCTCCTTTTCATCATCCGCTATCTGGCATAACTTATTCCTGCCACCTCCCTGGCCCTGAAGACATGTACGTTTGCAATCCAAGCCCAAGAGATGGTCTTAGGCTCTTATAGCACTGGGACTGAGAGACAAACTGAAAGCTACAGTGAAAAAGAATAATAGTTCTGGTTGAGTGTTTACTGTATACCAGGTTCGGTGTTAGGAATTTTAAGCCCATGCTTTTAATTAAGTTAGGGCTGCCGCTCTGTTTGAATCTGAAATCGTCTATTCAGGCAATAGAGGGGTCTTAGGAAAGCTCGGAACCATGTACTCAAAACTTTCCAAGACTTAGCACTACTGCACATTCGCTGAGTGTCCTGCTCACTCAGTGTCCTTCACAGAGGACAGAAAATTAAGTCAAGTCCCTGTGCACTTCATTACTCAACTGACTTCAGTCAGCCACAATCTTTAAAGGTCTTCTAGGAATTATAGCATCAGAATTCTCTTTCCAGATTCACCACTAAATAGAAGGCCTTGGGCAAATGATGCCTTTCCATGCCTCAGTCTCTTTTCATATAAAATTGATTGAGAATGCTTTAAAACTTTATCTATACTGGCTAACCCAAAGGTGGTCTCCACACTACCACATGAATTGGTCCACTCGCCTTAGGTCTTTGTGGCTAACATATTACTCTGCAGAAGGACATTAACAAGGTGGGTACTGGTTAGATATGTCCAAGCCTAACTCATCGATTCCTATCTTATAGACTGGTGCTTGTATATTTAGTCCCTTTGTTAACAGTTCTCTGTTAAACCTGAAATTCTGTGTAATTAAGGGCTAATTAAGGGGGAATCATGCCCAAAGGGTGCCTACCGTGTCCACAATTGCATTTTCAGGAAAAAAAAGCAATGTTTTGGGGTGGGAAACTTACCAGCATCTGTTCAAAGAGTACTAGAACTTGATCATCTGAAACATCTTGCAATGACTGTGCTGTGGGATCATCCCCATACGATGCAGAAGAATTTCTATGAGCAGAATTGGGCTTTTCCTTCTCCTTCTTAATTCTCATGCTGGTAAATCTCTCCAGCTAAGAAAGAGAAAAAAAGTATTAGCGATCCATTTTCATTTACACAACAAACCACACATGAAGTAGCCAACTCTCTAACTTTTTTTTTTTTTTAAAGGTTTTATTTATTTGACAGAGAGAGCACAAGCAGAGGGAGAGAGAGGGAGAAGCAGGCTCCCTGCTGAGCAAGGAGCCCGATGTACATCATGACCCGGGATCATGACCCGGGCTGAAGGCAGCCGCTTAACTGACTGAGCCACCCTGGCGTCCCTCTCTAACTTCTTATACCTGCATGGTTCCTGTGGTTTGTGGGCACTTCAAGATTCTTCTGACATGAAAACAAGAAATCTCTTATCTAAATTTTGTATACTGACTCTGTACTCTCATCTTCATCCAAAGATAAGAGGACTGAAGTATTAAGATTTGAAACCTTTTACAAAGAGAAAACCTTGTTCTCGAGCTCTCCTGCCACTGCTAAGCCCTCCAGCAATACAGAACTGAAAACACCTCACGTATAGAGTTAGCTCAATAAAATGCCATTTGTTTCCATCAGAGGATCCCTCCCTTCCAGAGGTGAGTATGACCACAGATTTTAGTAGGTGTAAGTCATAAAGAATAAACAAGTAAATGCCTTAAAACCAGGAACCATTACTTTTTCTTTCTTCTGTACACTCCAAAGCCCCTGTGTTATGGAGGCAGCAAAAGTTCAATATACAGTCTTCAAAATCCCCTTTGCAAAGAATACAGTGTACTTCAGGGGTATATATGCAGTCTCTCTGCCAACCAAAGACTTGTGAACCATTCCCCAAACCTCAAGTACAGATGCTCACACCAAAGAGCCACCAATAAGCTGCAGCTTGTAGCTCCACCTGTTTGAAAATAACAGTAAGTATCTTCAAGCACTGTGGGACTTCAAGTGATGGGAGTAGCATTCAGACTGCAAGTCAGTTATGAGTTTAAAGAACGTGCCTACCCTTGGAAGCCAATGAATGTCCCAGGGGAACGCATGCAATGGGCCAAACAGAGCAAAGAGTTAGGAAAAAGCTTTGGGAGGTTCTGATAATAGAACGAATATCACCATTTCAAGTCAAAGTTATGACAACTGGTAAGTATCACAGTGGAGGAAATGAGCTAGAACATGCACATGCTGAACAAAATTTCCTTACCTCATCTGCCATGAGCCGCTTCAGAGTCTAGGAAACAGGAAAAAGGAGGGAAAAGAAAAAGTAGATAGATCAGTAAAATTCCAGGGAATCTCCCCAACACCAGATGGGGTGGGGGGGGAAAAAGAATAAGTTGAAAGGATCTAAGCTACTTTCTATAAGCTAAAGATTTCAGCAAGCTATTCCTTAGCACATTCTCTTATGGGATCATCACCTGAGGCGAAGGCAGACACTTAACGACTGAGCCACCCAGGCGCCCCTATAGTAAATGCCTCTTGACTAACCTTCCTCAACTAATGAAAAACTAGCTGTGACCCTGCCACAAAGCTATTTTACTAACCTTTTTATGGACAAGAAAAATCTCTACCATTATGTTCATGTTCCCCATGTCAGAGTTCGGTTACATCCAGTTAAATTGTGAATCTTAACTTTTCCCTCCATGGTTCAGAGGACGCCAAGCTTCCACTGACTGAGGGCTAATCACAAACCTGAAGCTATAAGAACCTTGCTCAGCACGAATAGAAATTATAGTTACTTTGTGTGTGCTTACTGGGGAGTGAAGGCAGAAGGATGGTGAAGCAGACAGCAATACCGAAGGAGACTTAACAGTTCCTTTTGTCACTACTCTTAGTCACCTGGCACTCAGGGGAAACAAGCTACAAAAAGGATGAGTATGTACAAATTTAATAACCACTGCCAAGGTTAAACTTATGTGCACCTAGAGCAACTGCTTCCAGAAGCTTGTCCTCCAAACTCAAACTGTTCCCTCAGAACCAAGCAACAACCCTAACAATTCTGGGATGGATGTAACATGGGTAACAGAACTTGGGACTAACGAATCAGTGCCAGTTGGATTGCTCACAGCTGCAGGCTAAGTTAAAGAAAAGGAAACCAGCAACCAGTTCCTTCTGTCTACAGAGTTTTATTTCTCTTCTGTTCATCCCTACTACCACTACGTAAGCTTATGCCATTATTATCTCCTGCTAGACTTACTGCAAAAGCTTCTTAACTGATATCCCTGCCTCCAGTCCCGTCTGCCCTACACCAAATCCATTCTCCATACGGTATCCAAGGGTAATCTTTCTAAAATGCCACACTGTCCACGGTATTTCCTCATTTCAAAACTTTCAATGGCTCCCAACTGCCACAAACCCTCTACCTCAAACTCTATCTTCTGGGCATCCTGAACCAGTTGCAGGTCCACAAACAGATCATGCTCTCTCACCACCCCAGACTTTCCAGGCTGCTCCTTCCCTCAGTCTAGACTGTGCTTTCATGGCTAACTCCAACAGGCCCTGCAGGATGATACGGACTCTTAATTGGACAAGTACTTCTTATGTTTCCACAGTAAAAGGTGGAAAGTTGTCTGTCTTACAGCACACTAGTTGTGGATTACAGTTGTCTCTTGACTGTCTGCCTCCTCTACTCCTTTCCAGACTAAGTTCATTCAGGGCAGAGCCTGAGACTTAGTCATTATATTTCCTATGAACAGATACCACAATCTAGGGCTGCTTTCCTAAAATACCAAGCCCTGAAAAAGCTCTCTAATCAATTCAATGTGTCAATGAAGAAAAAACAAAAACAAAAAAACCCACCAAAGCCTAGACAGGTAGAGTAAATCACTGAGGTCACAGGATCAGGAACAAGCTGGGTATGAACTCTAGTCTCCAGATTCCAAAGCCTAAAATCTTTGCATTCCCCAAATTCTTCTGCCTTGTTCCCATCTGATGCCCACTAACTCTTGCCTTTAGAAACAAAAGTGAATATATCTTTTCATAAGAAGGAAGATACCACATTTCCTTGCTTTCCTTGGTGCATTATTAGAAACATAATTAGTTAAAAAAAATTATCCACACTTTAGCACTCAGTTTGGGTAAGGACAGCAAAAATGATCCATGCAGGATCAAAGTTGCACTGTTCCAAAATGTCCAACAGAGGGTAGCAACTACCAGCAAAGCGGATCACCCTATAGGCAAAATTCTGTTTCAGAACCTAACAGAACACCCCAAGAGCAAGCTCAATTCAATTTCTGAAATGTAACCTGCTGCTACAATGTACTGAGGGTGTGTTATTTACTTACTGTTATGTGTTTTTCTTACAGATCCTATGTATACTGTGCTTGCAAACAGTTAGCTTTACTCAGTGTTTTAATTATATCCTTACTTGTGCTGTGGATTCTGAGATGAAGAACAAGAATTCCCAGATCTTTTATTTTAGTACAAATGACTAAAAATAGTGGGATCCAGGAAGATAAATGCTTCTGGAGCTGTATTTGTGCCTTACACCACAGATGCCCAGGCTTTTGTCATTAAGTTCTCTAAGCACTCTCTTAATTCTTCTATTCTCACCATTCTCCTTGGCTGCTGTCAATTCTCTTCTGCCCCCAAACCAAACCCTTACCCTCCTAACCTGCTGGCACTAAATACTTCATCTTCCTGTCCCTCCTATTGAGTCTTCCACTAAAACCTTTAACTATAAATATAGATACTGAAAAAAATCAGATACTAAATGAAATCTTTCTAAAATACCAACATCTGCTCATGAATACAGATTAATAGGAACTACTAGATAAAAGACAGTAAACTGAACAAAGCACCTCATTTCTCTCCTTCTTGAAACCCTTCTTAAACCTACAGAAAAAGATTTTTTGAAAAGAAAACAATGATGGAAGGAAGGAGCCTATAAGGTTGGGAAGAACAAGAAAAGCACAGCTGCAACCAAATTTTGAAGCTGGGGAATAAATACAAAGACTAGTGGTAAACCCAAAAGACCTAAGAAAACTCAGTCCTAAACCAGAAGTAGGAAAAGATAGTAATCAATTGTAATTATATTTAAAGGTCCTGAAAAGGCTAAAGAAGTAGCAGCTTGAGGTACCTATGGAAATGGGGGTTGGAAGGAGGGTGAGCCTAAAAATAAGAGGACTGGCTGGAAGCTGTTCAAGAAGCAGTTCAGTCTGTAGATCCTTCCACTCTCCATTCCCCCAGCCCTCCTCCTGGCCCATACAACTGAGAGAGTACCCTCCCTTACTCCAACAGAAATCTGCAAGTTCATTCTTACAAGAAGGTAACAAAGGATCTCTGAACTGGGAGATGCCAGGCACAGTTGTGGGTAGGAATTCTGTCATAAAATCTATGCATAATACCTACTGAGACACCTAGCACCTTCCCCCATAGAGTTTCTGAGAACCCCAGCAGCCTGGGTGGCCATTACCCTTGAGGCAGAAAATTGGTAGACTCTTCTCTGGGGAAATGAAAAATGACCTAAAACTCCCGACACAGTCCAAGTAGATCACCCTGGAGTTCTGCAGTCCAATATGAGAGCTACCAGCCACAAGTAATAATTGAGCGCTTTTAATGTCGCTAGTATGCCTGAGGAAGAATTTTAAATTGTATTTAATCTTATTTTTTTAATTAATTTATTTCAGAGAGAGAGAGCACGGGCACAAAGTTGAGGGGAGGGGCAGAAGCAGAAGGAGAAGCAGGCTCCCAGCTGAGCAGGGAACCCTACACAGCAGAATCAGGACCTGAGCCAAAATCAACAGCTGGACACTTAACCAACTGAGCCACCCAGGTGGCCCAAATTGTATTTAATTTTAAATAAATATAAATTTAAAAACTAATATACTATTGTTATTGTTAAACTTATGTTTGGAATATCCTGGGTATGTGAATCTACTTTCACCTGTAAATTTTATGAAGTCTAAAAATACATGAACTTGGGGCGCCTGGGTGGCTCAGTCAGTTAGCGTCTAACTCTCGGTTCTGGCTCAGGTCATGATCTCAGGCTTGTCAGATGGAGCACCATGTAGGGCTCTGTGCTCAGTGTGGAGTCTGCTCCCTCCTCCTCTGCCTCTACCCCTCCCCCATTCCCGACCCAACTCCTTCACCCCCATGCACTGGTACTCTCTTTAAAATAAATAAAATCTTTAAATATACCTCAATTATTTTTTTTATAAAAATTTAGCATATAAATTAAGATGTGCTATAAATGTAAAATATACACTGGAGTCCAACAACTTAATATTAAAAACAATATAAAACATCTCATTAATACTTTTATATTTATAACATACTGAAATCTTTTTATATATTGGATTACCTAAATTAATATTATTAAAATTAATTTCACGTTTCTTTTTGCCTTTTTCTGTGGCTGCCAGAAAATCTGAAATTACATATGGACTCACATTATAGCTCGCTCTATTATACACGTCTTTTTTTTTTTTTTTTTAAAGATTTTACTTATTTATTTGACAGAGAGAGATAGCAAGAGCAGGAACACAAGCAGGGGGAGTGCGAGAGGGAGAAGCAGGCCTCCCACCGAGCCGGGAGCCCAATGTGGGGCTCAATCCCAGGACCGTGGGTGGGATCATGACCTGAGCTGAAGGCAGATGCTTAACGACTGAGTCACTCAGGTGCCCCTATACAGGTCTGTTCTATATAGTAAAGGGCACAGTTAACAAACTTTACCTGTGCATCTAGAGTTTCCCATCAGTTTGTTAGTCTCTCATTCCTTTTTTTTTTTTTTTAAAGTAGGCTCCACACCAGCGTGGCATCCGACATGGGGCTTGAACTCATGACCCTGAGATCAAGACCTGTGCTGAGAACAAGAGCCAAATGCTTAACCGATTGAGCCACCCAGGTGCCTCTGTTAGTCCCTTATTCTTAAACATTAGCAGACAACCCAAGTTATCACATTTGAGAAAAGCTACTGATGTAAGACAGAGAAAAAAAAAACAGCCTGTCATTCAGACTATGCAAAAAGATTTTCAAGATCACTAATATCCACAAAAGAGAACATAATGCCATTTTAAAAAGAAACATGCAGAGGAAAAAGAACCTGTAGAAGTTGAAAATATGAGAACTGAAACTCAAGAGAAAGCTCAACAGAAGTACTAGATGGTAAGAATTGAGGAAATCTCCCAAAAAGCAGAACAAAAACAGAGATGGAAAAGTAAGAGAGAAAAGATAAGCAAAGATCAGATCAGTTTGGAAGGTTCAATACACATATAGGAGAAAACAGGGGAGCAA